TACTTGGATCTAGACCTCACACTTGGACCTCTCCACTCAGCTCCAAGTCTGCAGACCCAATTGCATACATACTTGACACTGCCAATTGACTGTTGGAAAGTCACCCCAGACCCAAAACCAAACCAAATCAAGGATTTTGACTTCAAAGACCTAGTTCTGACACACTGTTACCCCTCCTTGTGAATGGTACCACCATCCATCTGATCACGAAAGCCAGAATCCCAGGAAATCCTGACCTCTCCCTCCTCCTCCTTCATCTCCATCAACATACCTTGTGGATTTTACCTCCTACAGTCTCTTGAATCTGTAGACTCCTCTGGACTTGCTGCTATCAACCTTCTCCTACAACCATCACCTCTTGCTTGGACTCCAAAGATCCAGGCATCAGCTCTCATTTCTTTTTCTTATCACTATTAGAACAATGATTTCTAATTGGACATGTCACCTGCCACCCCTTACTTCTCATCTTTAAAGCCACCTCTCCAACTTAAAGCCTTGCAATGGCTTCCCAAAACTCTTAAAAGAAAGCAAAAACCCTTAAAATGGGCCCTAGGATCGGCCTAATGTGGGTGCTGTCTAAGTCTCCCCTGTCACTTCCCTCCTCTTCTTGCTATCTGTGCTCCAGCCACATTGGCTTTCTTTTGGTCCTTTATATCTACCCCAGTCCTCCTGCCGCTGTGCCTTTGCATGTACCTCCTCTCCTTGGCCTGGTTAACAGCCACAAGCTTTCAGGTGATGACCCAATCTGATGTCCACAAGAGAACTCTGCACACCCTCCTTCATGCTCCCCTGCAGGGGCCTTCTGCAGCAATGAGTTTACCTGATGCTCTTTTGCCGACCATCTCCTCCAAACCCAGTGAGGTCAGAGATTCAGCCCACACCCAGCACAGTACTAGGCATAGAGAAGTCACATAGGAAGTATTTGCTGACTGACTAAATAAGCAAGAGAAGGTACTGTGTTGGCTTCCAGGGATACAAGGATGAATAAGGCACAGAGCTTTCCAGAAAGCAGCTCTTTAAGTTGGGAGTGAAAGGGTCAAGCAAATGAGAAGACGAGTAAACAGAGGTAGCATGTAACATACCTGAGGAGCTGCCAGAACCCTCCCCTAGAGGACACGACAATGCCTGAGCCCAGCTTGCCCACCCCCAGGTGAGGCTCAATCCAGGTGATCTGCTAACCTGCTGGGCACCTCATCACCAGTCTCGAGTGTCCCTGGGGTGTTCTGCTGTGCAGTCACTGCTGTATCCCAGTGTGGCAATGCCACCCACACTGCCACACATCCCATGAGGGCTCCATGCTTGGGAACCGGGTGTGCTTTGGGGCCTGGTCAGATTGCAGCATTGTAAAAGGCTCTGGCTGCAAGAACTGTAGTCAGAAGGGCAGCTGGTACCTTCCGGAGAGTGAGCTCATCATAGCCTCAGGCCAAGCCTGGGATGGTAGGGAAAGGTAATGATTTTTCTCCCCACGGGGCAGTTGGGGACATTGAGGTCAATAGAGATCAATTAACTTGGCTGCAGCATGAGAACAGCTTTGGAATGAAGTTGGAGAAAATCCTAGGGCCTCTCTTTTGGGTCCACGAGGCAGACTGATGAGTGAGTGGAAGAGAGCTCCACCGCCGAGGGCATGCTGCAGTGGAAACCTGCACTGCTTGCTACCTTGGTACAGGACATTTCCCTTGCCTCTTTGGACCACCAAACATTAAAGTAGATGGGCCCTGAGAGCATCAGATCCAGCACCCTTGTTGTAAAAAGAAGGAAACTGAGGCCAGAGAGATGAACCTCTTTTATTCTCCCTTTCTCTTCCATGCCCTGTTGACCATATCAGGTGCTGATATAGAGATTGTCAGCTGTCTATCCAAACTCTTCTCCCCTTCTTTACCCATGTGGCTAGGCTACATTTCTCAGGCTCCTGGGTGTGAACCATATCACCATGTTCTTTCCAGCAGAATGTAAGAGGAAGTCCGTTGAAGTCTCCTCTGCTCACACCTCTGTGTTCTTTTCATCTTTGGCTGATCAGAATTCCAATTCCCAGGGCATCTTTGGAAATCATACATCATAGAATGACAGAGCCATCATACTGTACATCCTAAAAGACTGTGTGAAGGGCCCTTTCATGCCATGAACATCAGTGTGCGAGTTTGTTAAGTAAGCAAGAATGAAACATCATGATGTTAAGCTGCTGCATGTGGGGGTCTTATTTGTTAGTGCAGGCCAGCCCAAGCCTAAGCCAGTATCAGTAGAGGCAGGAAGGCCCTACAGAAGCTGTGACTCCATGCAGTCCCCAGGGGTGGAAACACTGGGATCCCACTGATTCCACTGCCAACCATGTTGGAGCACCCCCACTCCTAACTGGAGAGGTTAGGAATGCTGACTCTTAACTCACTTTTCTCTAGAATTTGATCTCAGCTAGCTCTCTTTCTGGTTTATTCTACATCAAAACACTCCCAGGGCTACAAGGATCTGAGAGATCATCTGATTTATCTTTGAGCTCCAGAGAAAATCTCATCCCAGCTATCTGAGATGATCAGGAATCTTGTCTGGCTGGGTGTGGTGGTGAATGCCTGTAATCCCAGCACTCAGGAGGCTGAGGCAGGAGGATTGCCATGAGTTCAAAGACAGCCTGGGATACATAGTAAGTTCAAGGCCAGCCTGAACTACATATTAAGACCCTATCTCAAAGAACAAAAACAAAACCAACAACAACAAAAGGATTCTTATCTGGAATTTCACATCCCAGGAAGGAAAGAAAAACTACCAATGTCCTTGGATACCTGTTTCATACCTCCCTGTTCCTGTGGCAGAGGATCTTTATTGAATCTTAAATCACCAAAACTAGAGAATTTCTCAGCAATCATTTAGGACAATCTATACTTCACAGATGAGGACACTGAAGTTCAAATCACAATTAGAAAGTGGTAAAGTCAGAGAAAGAAGCAAAGCTCTAAGACCAAGCACACTACTCTTTCTGAGGTTCTATATTGCCTTCAGCTCTCTTGCTGATTTCTCTTGTTCTGTCCTAGGAGGAGATTAAAAAAATAATAAGTGCTGGGGCTCACTTAACACTGGGCTCCATCTGTCCAAGTTCTTCCTGTGTCTCCCTCTCTTAATCCACTGGTTAAGCTCTGAACTTGGTCATTGGTTTTAGAAGGCAGAGAAGATTACAGAGAGATAAACCCATTGTTGCTTAAAGAGGAGGGACAGGTGGCAGGTGCATGTTTGTCCTTGGGCTTTGGCAGGAAATGTAGACTTTAGTGGGATCCCTGAATCCAAAGGCGAAGCCTGGAAGAACCATTAAACCCTTATGCCTTTCTGGTGGTCCAAAGGGTGACTCACACCATGTGAAATGTTCTCTGTGGAAGGGAGGGAGTGGTGTTGACCAGAACCTCTGAGTACCATGTGCTGGCCTGGTGGAGCTTGTCTGGCTGGGTTTGGGCAGCTGCGAGGTCTTGCCTGTTAATATAGGAGCCGTCTCCAGAGACGTTGAGCAGGGCCCATGAGCAAACTGAGTTATTTACAGGGGTTACTGTTTGGCACTTTCTTTGAGAGACCTAGAAATTCCATGAGAGACCTGGGAAGTCAGGTTTGCTTTGTGGTTCTTTAAAAACAAAGCAAAATAAAACCAGATTTGTACTGCTCCCCCTCTTATTTAAGGTGAGCTTGTTTATATACAGAAGCATCCTTCATGTTTTCTGCCAAATGACTCATTTGTACTGAGCCACCAAAAAGTGGGCCTGGGCCTATGTGCAGCTGCCCAGAGCACCATGATCCACTCCTCCCCCTGGAGCTGGGCCAGAGGGGTCTGGACACAGGGAAACAGAGGAGCAGAGAAAAGGGAAGGAGATGGCAGACCCCAACACACCAAGCAGCTGTGGTAATCTTTTCAGTTGAGATGCTGTCTAAATTAATGCAAATTCTGAGTTAGGAAACAAGAATGAATGATGGATGACCCAGTCATTCAAGGATAGATATACATCAATCTTTGGGTCTGATTTTAGTCTTGAGCAAGTTATTCCCCCATTTCAAGCCCCTCTTTCTTCACTTACAAATGAAGAGGCTTGCAGTCTTAAAATTCTACCATTTTATTATTTATTTACTGGGAGGGGAGAGGATATGGAGGCTTGCAGTCATAAAATTTAGACATTTTATTACTTATTTACTAGGAAGGGAGGGGATATGGAGGACAAGGAGGTTTATTTACCAAGAAAATCTGTTTACACTAAATCTTAAACCTCTCTCTCGAAGCTTTCATTTCACATTCAGTGATGCCCCTGGGCTGCTTTGTTCAATTTGCAGTCTGCAGCCCTTTTCCTGATTGAATTTGCCCTGCCTGAGCCTGAATTCACAGTTTTCTTTTCCCTGAGGCCTGTTTGGGTGTCCTGGTGGTGACAGCTCTGCAGAACTCTGGTGCGAGCCCAAGGCAGTGGTCGGAATGGGAACAGACTCCAGGCTCCGGAATGGGAACAGACTCCAGGCTCCGGAGAGCGAAGGGGAATGTTCGGTTCCTGCCTTGGCCGGAGGGTGAGGTGCTCGGCTTGGCAAAGACAAGCGGGGCACCGCGCTGAGGATCTGGGAAAGGGCAGTGGTGGCGTAGGGGGCCACTTCAAATCAGTAAGGGCGGTGACAGCGCGGGGCGGGGGAAGCAGGGCCCAGGCTTCACTTCTATCAGAGCACTGGGCATAATCTAGTCGGTGCCAGCCACACGACCTATGGAGTTGGCCAAGTGGTTTCTCGTTCGGAAAGCTGGGTTCTTCCCATTTTTTTTCCGAAAGGCACAGCGATGCTCCGGGGCGCGTGCATGGGACCAAAGTTACACGACTGCCCCGCTGACCTCACCGCAGCGGCTCAGGCCACCCCCGGCCCCTTCCTGCCCTCTCCCCGCCCCCGGCCCGCGGCGGGGCGGTGATGTCAACCGAGGAGGAGCCACCCGCCTGCGACCCGCCCGTCTAATTAGCATGTGGCCGCCCCACCACCCGCCGCGCCCACAACTTTTGAGGCGGGGAGCGCGCTCGAGGGCTCAGAGCGCTCTCACCGGCCTGCGCCCCGGCCTTGCGCCGGGCATGTGAGCCACCATGGCCTCGCCGCGCGCCTCGCGGGGCCCGCCACCGCTCCTGCTGCTCCTGCTGCTGCTCCTGCTGCTGCCCGCGGCTCCCGGGACCTGGGGCCAGGTGCCCGCCCCGGCCCGCCGCGCGCCCCTCTCCGGCACGGGGCTCCGTAGGCCCGCGCCCCTCGCTCCCGGCCACGCGATACGGCGGGAACGCTCCGGCCGGGTCCCCCGAGGCGTGAGCGCCGGTGAGTAGCGGGGCGGGCGGGCGCGAGCGAGCAGCCCGGGCCGGGGTGTGGGCGCGTCCTGGGGCTGCGTTCCCGGCGCTAGGCCCCTCCGCAACGCGCGACCCCGGCCCGCGACCCCGCTAACCCAGCGCACGGGGACCCGAGGGCGGGCTGCGAGGGAGGAACGCGGGTCCTGGTGGCTGGACTGGGGATGTGACCGTCGCGTTCTCCCCACTGCTCTGAAAGAAAACTTATTTCTCCCACGGGGCACCCTCTGTGCCTCCCACAGCTGTCTGATCCCTTAGAGAAAAGGGAAAGGAAAAAGACCTCCCAGAGCGCCTCTCCCACCTCGGGGGTGATAACTTCCGGCCGGGGTTCCCCAATTCCTCTTTTTTCTCGTTATGGACACAGAACTGGTTTCTCCAGTTATAGAGCCTGACTTTCCAGCATAAATAACGGATTTTTAAAAGGACCTAGGACCGAGGATGTGAAAAGGACAAAGGATGTAGTTTGAAACCGCATGATCTCCTAGTTCAACCCTAAAAAGCAGAGGAACTTGGGGAAGGGCAGTTCGAGGCTGAGCCTCTCAAAGCAGACACTGGCCCACCACGGTCCCTGAGCCTTTCTTTCCTCCCCTGCCTTTCCCAGCGAGGTGCTCCTTAAGCGACCCTTGGTCTGAGGCAGACAGGGAACTGACCTCCCTGCTGCCTTTGTATCTGGCTCTTTTTCCTGGCATCAAAGAAAATGCCAAGGACCGATTAGAATTCTAACTGTAATGTCATTATGGCTCTGAGAATGTCCTTTCTTTTGGTCTTAGTTTCTCCATCTGTACAATGGAAGTGATGGCCCTTTTTCCTCCCAGCTTCCAGGTGACGATGTGACAAAATGAAAGTAAAAATAGTGGAAAGTGCTTTGAACAAAGTCAGCACCGTGGTGGTGTTAGCCCGTGGCTTCCTGTGAGTGACTCAGGACGTGCACTCTCAGGGACATCCTGGAGAGAAGAGACCCGGCTGCTACTACATGACACTGATTTAGAGTTTAGATGAAGGTTGAGAAGATTCAATTGAGTTATAACTTCAATTGAGTTGTATTTCTCTTATGTCATATTTTTTTCCTGGTATTTGAGTCAGTGTGCTTGATCCAGCCTAGGGGTGTTTCCTAGAATAAAATAAGAAAGTGTTTTCCCCACCAGTAAAACCTCAACTCCATATTCAGCAATCCTCCCATCATTTCAAACTGCCTTGTCTTTGTGAATTTCTAAGCCACTGGCCTAATTTTGAGAAACTAAGGAACAGTATGAAAGGAAGAGGAGAAAGAAGCTTCAAAAATTCAGCAGGAGATGGATCCTGGAGTGACTGATTTTAGATTTCATACAACATTGTTTTGTTACTTTCTGTGGGAGGAATCAAGAACATGAAAGAACATTTCCTGACTTTTTTTGTAGTAGAAAAGTAACGAAGGAACACTGTATGGTGTTTGGTGACATTTCGTCGGGTACACACAGGTGTCTCCGGCTGGTACTCAGGCAGTGTTAGCTGACGGCCTGATCTGGTTATGGGATGGGTGGGAGAGTGCTGACTTGGGGGGCCCTGGTTGGAGGAGGCTGGATCACGAGTCTCCTTCCTTCCCTTGCTGGGAATCCCCGCAGATCCTAAGGAGGTGGCTGTTAAAGAGGGAGGGACCTATGTTATGGGAAAATAAGGTAAATAACTGAGATTTTCCTCATGGGCACAGTAGGTAATGCTGCTGGTCTTGGCTCCACAACCTTCTGCTTGATTCATTTGGGGAGGTGAATGTGATGGAAGGTTCAGGTATCTGAGATGGCTGAAGACCCTGCAAGACCTGTACTTGTTTTGGGCAGTAGCTCAAACAGTGTCCCTTAGGGAGAACAAAGAAATAACAAGCAAAAAAAAAAAAAAAAAACCAAGCATGAGGTGACTCTGAGCCCAAGTTTTCTAATTACCCAAGGACTTCCTCGGCCAGTTTGGATCGGCTACCATGCCTCACTAGGTACCAGTGCTTATTTCACAAGCACCATAGTCTCAAGGCTGAAAGGGCCTCCAGGGTGCTGGCCTCTCCAGCGCCCTGATAGGTGCTCACCCAGGCTCTATCCATGTGCTCGAGTTCAGGAGGGGGTGCTCCTGCTGCACAAATAGTGCGCTTTGTCTGAGAGCTGGGAAAACTGCCCACAGCCTCTCCCTGCTGTGGGATGCCAGAGGTCAATGCCTGGCCCTTGTGGCTTGAGCTTCCAGACCACCATTTCAACAGCAAGGACCAGAGATGACCTTTTCCTCCCAGTGGGCTATGTCTAGCCCCTTTTCTCCTCCTGGCAGAGTTCAAGGTTCTCATTGTTGGCTAACTGCATTCTATATGTAGGTTGTTTGCCTGGGTTGGAGTCTCTAAGCCCATGGAGAACAGTCTGCTGCTTGTATAGCCATTGTTAGGCTTTTGCACCCACCTGTCACTCTGCTAGCTGTTCAGCTGCCATTTATTGCTAGTGTTTCAGTCAGTAGTGGGAAGTAGGCTGACAACTAGAGATTTCCTTTTTCTATGTGGTTTCCTACTACTCGGGGCTTCCGAGCCACAGTTCTAAGCTGAGTACTAAATTTATATGCTTTGATTTTTTTTTCGGTCCACAGGCCATGCTTTAATTATGAGATCTGCAGACCAGAAGTGGGTGTGGGTGTGTGTGTGTGTGAAATCATAATAAAAATCCATGCAGAAAGGAAAGAACTTTCCCATCCAAAGGGGAAATGAAGCTGAGTAGCTGAGCAGCCAGCCCAAGGAATAATAATCTTACAAAAATGCAACTCCCTAGAGTAAAGGAAGCGCTTGCTTTGAGCCCAGCCCCTTCTGAGCTGTTAAATAGCTGTCGCCTGAACTGCTCTAACTTTGTAGGCCAACTTCGTCATTTTGCTTGGCTGCTACCAGAGCCCTACAAGGTGCAGTGAAGGCCCATGCTGGGCAAGAGGCAGCCCCTCGGGGAAGGGAGAGTAGCTTTCCCCAGGAATGTAGCCCTCTCCTGGATGGCTGCTTACTTTGATGGAAGGTGTCGTCCCAAGTGGAAGGCTGGTGGAGGAGAAAGGACTCTATGGGCATGTGTGTTTAAAAGCACATCCCAGTCTTGGTGCAGGCCTGTAATCTCAGCTATTGTGGAGTCTTGAGACAGGATTCCAAGTTCGAGGTCAGTCTAAGTAACTTAGCAAGATCCTGTCTCAAAATAAAAAGGCTTGGGGATGTAGTTCAGTAGCAGAATGCTTCCTGGGTTTGATCCCCAGCAGTGCAGAAAAAAAAAAGCCACATCCTTTTAACTTTGCAGTAACCTGTTTATTGCTTTCTTCTACATGTGTGCAGATGCTGAACCTATATTTCTATCCTGGGCTGACTGGTGTGAGCAGAGGGAGACAACAGTGTTCCCTGCCAGCTGGGGCAGGAGCTCCCTGCCCTCGCAGTAATCCCTCTGCTTTCCAGCAGCCTGCCCAGCTGGCTGAGAAAGTGACCTGGAGTTAACTTGTCCTTGTCCAGAGACACTGAGAAAGAAAGCAGAGAACAGATGGCAATTGTGGTTTTGTTTGGTCCTTACTGCCATCTTCAGTGGCTTCCCTCTGTCGCCGTGTCCTTTTTGTTATGAACAGGAGGTCTTGGCTACAATGAATGCCTCTTTCTTCAAAGAATCCCAGGGAGGGAAGAGGGAAGAAGGCCAAGCCTGGTCCTTCTTTCTACTCCTTAGCCTTTGAGTGCCTGTGTGTAGTTGGTGCTTTCACATTTCTTTACCCATTTCACCCACAAACAATCTTTTGAGCATTATTGTTTCTACCTTCCAATTGTGGAAAATGAAGCCTGGCAAGGTTAGGCCGGCCACACAGGAAACGGAAGAGGCATTTGAAATGAATTTTGACCAAATCCATTTGCTCCTTCCACAATACCACAAAGTCTTCTCATCCTTAGAATGGTGTAGCAGTGGTTGTAGATCTCTGCGGTCCTGTCCAGCTTATCAGTCTTCTTCCTCGCTTCCTCAGTTCTTTCCTCTTGCCTCTTTTTAGAGATTGGGGGCCATGATTGGGAGAAGGTGGAAGGTAATTGGGACAAGCTGTAGAGAAATTTAAATTTTTTTAATTGCCCAAGTTAAAACATCAGGTCTTTTTACATGTATAAGATGGCGTTTTTTACAGATTGTGATTTTATGCTCCACTTACATGTTAGTCCATAGGTTATGGATGCCATAGATAGCTCCATTAATTATGATCCAAACTGAAATGAATTGTGGACTTTCTTAGTGGGCTCTCTTTCTGGGAACCTGGGCAGTGGCTGATATAAGGCAGTTACTAGTTGTCACAAGTACTGTTCATTAGGAGAGACCCTGAGAGCCATTCAGATGCTGTAAAATCACTTTCAACATCTATGCTCTTTTCTGTCTACTCACCATTCATCTTGCATAGGCAGAAGTAGAGATGTTTCTAGCCTGTCTCTTCCACCTTGTTTTGAAGTTGGGCAGATGTCTCCATCTGTGTCCCCTTTGATTGATTTATAGCTCAGGAAATATTTGCTGAGACCCTACTACATGTGAGGAGATGCCAGGTGATGTGGGGCTTGTAGGTACATCTATGATGTCCCTAGGGAACATCTTGTTGGGTCACAAATATGATGCATTAATGATTCATAACTGAAGAAATGTCATGAGATCACACTGACAGAAGGAATGATGTGGTTAGCGATGGCTGCAGCACGCAGAGCTGGAGACTGCAGGGGACTGGAGAAAGACCTTATGGGGAAGGAGGGAGCTCATTTAGCTTTGGGAGGTGACAAGGACAAGGACATGGGTGAGGTGGGAGGTTATTGGCATTTACAGAATCCCAAATGTTGAAAAGGTCAAGACTTTTTAAATGGAGGTGATTAACAGCCAGGAAACATGGAGGAGAGGACTTGAGGATACAATCTGGGCCCTGTGATAACTAGAGCCCTCAGGAAAGGGGACTAGGGCTCATGATGAGGGCCTTTGAGCCCTGATTAAGGCCTTTGTTTCATGGCATCCACATTGAGGAGCATGTGGCAGCTTTGGAAGAGGGAGCAGGTAGTTTGCCACTTCATTGTTCATTTGTGCTTGGTGCAAGGGCCAAACAGATGAACTACAGACAGATCTATCCTTCCTCTAGCCTGGTAGTTTCACTGCAGCTGTAGTGGAATCTTGGTGGCATTGTACCCATGCAGTGGAGGAAAAGGCTGAAAACCGGGAATGGACTGAAATGGAGTGGGAGAAATTAAGAGGGAGAGATGCAAGGGTAAAGGTAAAAGAGGAAAGCAGCCTGAGGGGGTGTGGAGAGGAGCTGCCTTGCCTTTCAAGAGGCTGCTTTTCTCTTTTTGATGTAAAGACTACAGCTAGTCCCAGTGGAAGAATTCTGCAGAAGGTTGAGAATATGGAACTGAACTAGAGCAAAGCCAGGGCCAAATTCAGCCTGGGGAGGGTGGCAGTCATTGAAGCCACTGAGGAAGAAGAAACTGGCTCTGATGGGGTAGAGAACATCCAGTGGAGAGGGTGAGGAGGAAGAGGCGCTAGCTTAGGCACCAACCAGGCCTGGAGGCACAGTGAGAGCTGGGGCAGTCTGCAGGCTGGTTATGGATCAGCAAAGGATTTGCATCTTAATGGACTCTGGGGCCTGTTAACTTACCTGTGAAAGTAAATTAACATTTTCTGCCTGGTCTGGTCCTTTCCTCCAGGTATACTAAGTCAAAGGAGCAGGGAGATGGGGCAGAATGAGGCCTGAGGAAAGGACATTGGTCTGACTGAGCTGTTTGGTGGGGACCCTCAAGAGGCCAGGAAGAAGCCTGCCTGCTGTATGGTAAGCATGGGAGACAGCAGGAGTTGGCCTCCTTCCCTGCCAGCATCAAAGTTTGACAGTGAAATGACAAAGGGAAATCAGAGAGAACCAAAATCTTTTATCTCAGCCCCTAACTTGTTAGTTCCTAGTTCTTTCCATGTCAGGAATTGGCAACACCATTATTCACCTGGTTACTTAATCCAGAGCCTAGGGGTCACCCTCCATTCCTCTCCTTTCCTCTCTCACCGTGTCCTTTTTTGGGAGGAGGGAGGAGGGGCACAGTTCTGGTTGATTTCTGAAATAGTGTCATGAGTTGGTCTCTTTCATTTCCACTGCTTTTTTTCTGTTCTATTTCATCCACTCTTGTGCTCTCTCTAAGCAGTGCGCATAGAAACTAGAGTTATCTTCTTAAAATGTAATTCAGGTCACCTCCTTCTCAGGCTTCAAATCCTTCAAGAGCTTTGGATTGAGCTTGGAATAAAATCCAGCCCTCCTTTTTGGAATGTGAGATTCAAAGGTCTGACCCTGCCACCTCTGTAGCCTCTTCTTGCTCGACTCCACACTTTCTGTGCACACCAGTGTATTTGTACATGTTAGAATTATTCCTGACTTAGAGATTTGGCATAAGGTATCTCCCTGCCTATAGCAGAAAGAGCTTGCCAGGTAGAAGAAACAGCCTGGCAAATGGCCTAAGGCAAGAAAGACTAAGCTAGTCTTGTTTTAGAATTGGAAGATAGGCAGGCAGGCCTCAGTGGCTGGGTGGCTTGTTCGTGGATGGCTGTGAGAACTGCAGAAAGGAGGTCACATTGGCTTTCCAGGTGCCCTAGAAGGTACAGCAGCAGGGCTTGTACTTCCACATGGGGTAGGAGTCTCATTATGGGATCTCGTAAGGAGTTGGAAGACCATCTGCCAAGACCATAGAGGCTATGAAAAATGGGCACATTCCTTTTGCTTTCTATGACAGCTCTTGAACTTCGTGGAACAGTGCTAGCAAAGTTGTTGAGGAAAATGTTCTAGTTGGATGGCGTGGCAGGCAGGCAAGGCTGTGTTTCCAACTCCTGGGATTTTGGGGAGACCTTAGAGGCTCTGACCTCTGTGGAGAACCCAAATAACAGAAGCTCCCGTTTCTGTGCGAGGAAGGAGCTAGGCCGCTGGAGGCCAAGCTGCTGGAGCTGGAAGCTGGATTTGGTAAGTTGACACATATCTTCTTGCTGTCTCCTAAGTTGGGAGGTGAAGACCAAGGAGAAAGATGGTTAAATAAAAGGTCAAGGTCAGCCTCTCCAAGTGGCCCTACCAATTGTATTCTTGGAACTGAAGCAGTCAGAGTGGTGCAAGGAGTAGCAAGAGTACAGGAGAGAGGCACCTGGTTGTTTTCTGGAGAGATGTTCCTTGGGCAAGGCTGCAACTAGTGAGTGTCATGTTAGACCTGTAGGGAAAACTACTCCATTTTCCTTCCCTGTGTTACTATGTTAGGAGAAGATGGAAAGAGCTTCAGTTTGGGGATGAATTTCACCTTTTTAGCCTCTAAGGCCACCATGATAGTTCTTGCTGCCATGTGATGAAAATTTGGGGGATCATTTTTTACCAGATTGTAGATGAGAGTCCTGTTGGCTTTACAGTCACAGACCCTGGTTTGGGTGGTCAAACAGACTCAGTTCAAATCCCAGCACTGCCATTTGCCAGCTGTGGGACTTTGGTAGGCTATTTAGCCTCTCTGTGCCTTCACTTTCTCATCTGTCAAATGGACTATTCATGGAAAGAACCTGCTCGGGGAATGTGGTATCTAACCCCTGTAAAGACGACTGCTTGGTGCCTAGGTAGCCAAACTCATAACCCAAGGGCTGCTGCTGCTGCTCCTTTAACCAGTGCTTGTTTACATGGTCATGGTGTTGATGACAACCCCCTGTGTCCTCCAGGAATTTTATTGGATAGGGGACAAGTTCTGAACTGAAGAGCTCGCTACCGTCTTCCAACGACTCTTACCTGGTCCTCCTCTTCCCTGAAGCATCCCTTGGTATCCCTAGAACTCACCCCCTGACCTTTACATACATAGATAAAAGAGGCAGATTTGAAGAATTGAAATCAGAAATAGCAGTTGCAACAGCCCTCACCTATGATCATCTGAGACCAGATGAACACATATGAAGCAATAGGATTGAATACAAAAAGTGTATGAAGTGTGACTACAAAATAATAGCCATTTGCAAGTCAAATGGTCTCTGAGTGTTCTCCCTCAGATCAGAACCTTTGAGGGTAGTGACATGCACTTCAGAAGTATTCGAAAGAGTTGAGAGCCACCTTCAGAGGCCATGTGTGTGTCCCACAAGCCATGCACTGGTGAGGCTTTGCAGTCAGACCTCTCCTGGATCCAAAATGGGTTGATTGTCTCTAGTCCCTACATCATTCATTAGATTGGGCTTTAAATTTTTTTCTGCTTCCAAAATAATCCAAATCCATTATCAGGGGATGATAATTTGTCTTTATTCATGAAACTCAAGAGAATATTCTGTAGGCTTTTTAAGAAATTAGCAGATTTTATAAAATGTTTTGAACAATAACAGCATTGTTGGAATAAGTATTGTCCTAATGGGACCTTTTTGAAGAGGATCATACTTAGTTGGGTAGGTGAATTCTTGTGGCTTGTTAGGAATTATTTATAGTGTAGTCATGCTTTGTGGTAATGGAGTGCTGCTGACAGTAGCCACTGGCAGAGTTAGAGAAGACAGATGGCCAGTGGTGGCCCAGGAGCTCTGATGCAGAGGACTTTTGGTCTGAACCCCTTCCACTTCTAGCTATGTGGCATAGGGTGGCTACCTCTAGGTCTTAATTTCCTATGCCTTAATGGGGAGAATAATGTCTATCTTGCTCCTAACAACCGAGGAAGAACAGATACAATTATGACTGTGAAAGCACTTGTAAATGTAGACTCAACAAGAGATTTTAGTCATAACACAGTGAACTGTGACCTGGGACAAACACTTTCATCTCTGTACCCACTTCCATATCTGTAAAACAGATAACATGAACCAGTTCTGTTGATGTTACAGTGCTATTATAAGGGTGAAATGAATTGATCCACATGGACATGCTTTGTAAATGTGTGTGCTGTGTTCACGTTAGTCATTAATGCTTCCAGGGAACACACCGGGCATTAGTATTCTACATGAGGGGGAGCTTCATGAAGAAAGTGGTCATGGAAGGGTGAACAGAGAGTTGGAGAAGAGGCAGAGAAATGACGAACATTTCTAGCAAATCTTAGTGGCCTTTTTCAGTCCATCTCTTTGTCTTTTCACCTGTCTCTGGTTGCCATGACTAATTCCTTCCTGTCTCTTCTCTCTCTTCAAGTGAGATGTTCTTTACAGTTCCACCCTTGCCCTTCTACCTCCAACTCAGATCGTTTGTGAAGCACTTTCTATGAGCCACAGCTTGGAGGAGACACGGGAATGTGATCAGAGGGTGTGTGTGGGCCTCTGCAGTTGCTCCCTAGAAACAAGGTGGATACCCCTGCTGCATCTAACAAGATAACACAGGGTTACAGAGGGAGAGTGTTGTCTTTGGGGAAGGCTTTTTGTAGGTGCACCTCTCTGAGGTGGTTGTGAGAAACAAATCAGATTTTGCTAGAAGGCCAAGGGGCAGAAAGTGGGACATTCTAGGTAGGAAAGACTGTGAAGGGAAGACAGTGCAGCTTCACCTGTTTTCTCTGAATGAGTGATTGCCAGAATAGCTTTTCTTCTCAACAGCAATCCAGTTCCATTCCTTCAACTGTCTGCCAACATTCTTTCACAGGTGTTTATGGTCCTTCACTTTAAACCAACAGATAATAGTTAAAGACACAAACATGTTACCCTTCCTGCCCCAAAACCTGCCCTCTCTTTGCTTGCTTGTAGTTCCTTTAATCTCCCATTCTCCACTCAAACCTGGATTATCTTTGTCTCTTGCTGCCTTGTCTTGTCTGTTCTTACTCATGCATATTGTAATCATCACTGATGCTAACTTCCTATTGTCTCTTACTTTCTTCTTAATCCTGCCAGAACTCTGAACTACACTGGAGAGTGGGCCACTTAGAATGTCAGGATGTCCCATACCTGTCTGTACCAAGGAAGTGCTGTTTGGATCCATCTGCCCTTGGTGGGGTGCCCTCGGAGCCCACCTGGAGGAAGCCCCTCTCTGGCCTTTCTGGCTTTCTCTTTCAGTACACCTTCCTGTTTCTCTGTAGTTCTCTGTGTCAGCTTTGCTCTTTCTTTCTTGTCTTTCATTCTTCATGCATTTTTCTATTTTATTAAATTGGATTTTCTTTGGAATCAGACAGACTTGAGTTTGGATCCAATTTTACAGTTTGCTGTGTAACTTTGGGCAAGTTACTAAATCCCACTGTACCTCAGTTTTCTTATCAGAAAAGCAGGGATTAATAATGAGACTGTCTTGAAAGGCCTACCCCTTCATCCTACCATGAGGATGAGCTGAGACAATTTATGTGACATGCTGCTGGCCTGGCACATGCCACACAGGTTATCATGTTTTATTACTGTGCTCTGATAATAGCTTTGTGTGTGTGTGTGTGTGTGTGTGTGTGTGTGTGTGTGTGGTACTGGAGATCAAACCTGTGGCCTCACATATACTAGGCAAGCACTGAACTATGCCTCCCAGGTGTATCTTTTTTAAA